CAAGCACCTGCAAGTAAAAAAAAAAAAAAAAGGATGATATCCAGTTCTCTTCTGAGAAAGTACAGCCCTTTCCAGCAGATGCATTAAGTGAGATAAAAACCTTATGGTTGAAGAGGTAGAAAAAGGACTGTTAAAAGGTACTTTCCAAATAATTTCAAAAGTTTTAAACGTTTCTTTAGAGTCAAGAAATACTTCAACCCTGTGACCCAGATTGTCAATAATTTCCTTTAAGCAAAACAAATTTTTAAGCATTAACTAAGCACATATACTACTCATGTATAAAATGCTAGCAAGCACCCTGATTTGGAAATTCAGACTCATCTGCCCTACTGACCGGGAGGTTGTCTCTTAACTTCTCATCACCAACCTCTGTCTTCATCCAAGACTGTCAGAGAGATGGGCTGGCCCAGCTCAGCATACACCATATACCCAATCCTGTTACTCATCACTTTATTTCTTCTTTTTGATTCTCCCTTGCCAAGCTTAGTTCTTCTGCCATCTCTCAATCGACACCCCCTTATTTATATCATTGAAATATTTTCTCAATAAGCTCCAAGTAATCATTTATGTCCTTTTGCTTTATTTTAATTTTGCTATACCAGATATTGTGTTAGCTCTGACAGTAGGCCATTGGTTGATACCTGGAATTTTTCATTGCAATGGTATTTGTCATGACGTTTCATTTGTAATCCCACCCCAAGAAAACTTAACTATTTATTTATACCCTGATTTATTTCAGAAAAAAATTTAAAGTTGCCTACACAAATACATACAATACAATAAAATTTAAATTATAGAGACAGGAAAATGGGACAAAGGAGAAATTAAAGTGTGAAAGTTCAGATGAAATTAGGAGAGAGGCAAGAATTTAAAGCTCAACTTATCAGGTGCATACACATGCTAGATCAGATTCTAAGCTTCTTCGCAGTCAATGGAAAGAAAGACTCATATCACTGGCTGAAATATTATGGCCTGCTAGTCAAATCCAGCCCACCATCTGTTTCTGTAAATAAAGTTTTACTGGAACACAGCCACACCTAATCATTAACATATTATTTATGGCTGCTTTCATGGTACAATAGTACAGTTGAATAGTTGTGACAGAGACCTGCAAAGCCTAAAATATTTACTACCTGGCCTTTTACAGATGCATGGTTTACATGATTCTGTGCCTATGAGATAGAAGCAAAGCAGTTTCCGAGTGTAAGTACGTTTTTTGTATGGTTCTGAAATGGAAGAGAACTTTTTACCGTAAAGAGCTCACTATGGAATCTCTTGAAAAAACACCCCTTGCTTCATCTTTTTTTTAAAAGTAAATATAGCAACAGGTTTCACAGGGCCAATGCCATGATATCACAACACAAATCAGTAAACTAATTCTACGTGAGGCTGAAACGATGCAGTTCAGGGAGAATTCTCTCCTGGTCTGGCTTAACTCAGGGAGGATCTGTAGATATGACAAGTGCCAGATCTACGCAGCCCTTCCTCACCCTCCTTCCTCATCACAGACAGACATGGCTAATGGATCAAGGTGCTCTCTCCAGCTGAGCCCCAACGTGTCCTCTGAAGCCTTGCAAGGATGGCTGCATGAAGAGAAGACCCAGTCACGCCTGCACGTATGCAAGACAAGAGAGCATATGAGAGCAGAACCCAGAGTCTCTTCGAAAAAAACGGCGGGGAACTTGCTCCTCTGCATAGACCAACAGGTGGTGAGGGCCAGAGAATAGCACAGGCATTCTGTCTGGAAACATTCAAGCCCAATAGCTATTGGTTGTTCAAAGAAATGAAACTTCCAAATAGCCATGACCTAGATCCACTAATCTTGAACACATATATTTCTAAAGAACGCCTCCCCGCCCCAAGAAACAGGGTTCCAAAACAAATGTAAATAAACTGGAAACAGTTCATTCCTGGAAGAAGATGACAAAACTGCCGACTGTGGATTTAGAGAATACACCTGTAGCTTTTGTCTATGCCCATTTCTTCTTTGTGACTAAAAAGTTATGTTACAAATTGCTTATATTTCTATTCTATATAAAAATTCAGGTTATCTAAAAAGTGTTATTAAGTCTTTAATAAGCACACTTAAGAGAATCAGAACTATTCTTATTTGACCTCACTGGAAATTGCTACTTAATCTGTAACTGACTCCTACCCATGTTGTCAAAGAGAAAGAAAAAGACAAAACATATTATCAATCATCTTACATTATTCCTAACAGTTCTTTCCACTGCCTGATTAAAAAGTATAAAACTAGAAAATAAGTGAAATATTCATGCCTCAAACCTTCCTTCTCCTTAGGGGTTTGTGGCTGTGTTCTAGAACACACCAACTACAGAGAAGAGAAACATAGCCACATTTGACAGGGGTGTTAATATAGCCAACAAACATGATGGATTAATGGAATAAATTTTTCTTCATCCTAAAAAAAGCAAACACTAATAAACATTGCCATTTACTCTTCTAGCACCAATGCTTTGGGTTCAAGTTCCGCCCAACTAGGCTATACCTCAGCACACGAGGATGTGGAAATTCTGGACTCCGCAAAGCCTTGCAGAAGAAAAAGAAGAGAAAAACTTTTAAGGAGTCTATCAAAACACCGAGCCCACACCAAATGGTAGCAGGTACATGGTATGCCTTTCTGGAACCAAGTTCAGGGACACCCAATTACATATTAGATTGGGAAGTACACAGAATATCAATGCAGAAAATTCTGGAGGAAAGCAAAAGAGCCTCCATATATCAGCTGTGGGCTGATCCCTGCTTCTCTAAGCAATTATGCAACCCTCTGTGTCCTCTGATGTGCGCCGATCCCAAGCTGGAGATCAGGATAGAGTGGATGTTAGATTACATTACCTGAGAAAGTTTTTTCACAACACTCGAGGCCACTAAAGTTTGTGCTTCTGAAAGAATGCCATCCCAAACCACCAGCATGCAGAGCACCCTTTCCAAAACCTCCTAAACAGCAGCAGCAGCAGCAGAAGCAGCAGCAAAACTTATGCTAATTTCTTCAAAACTAGTTGTGAAAGCTCCTACTTACGTAATGCATACAAGGTGAGAATTACTCCAGCCAGGCAAAATCCTTCAAAGAACCTGAGTGTGCTGAACATTGTCACATTCACTGACAGTGCCACGGTCAGTCCAAAGATCAGAATGAAGATGATGGAACACAGCAGCACAGGCCGCCGGCCGACCCTGTATACGGAGAGGGAATAAGTTAGGAGTCATCATTAAACAGGGCCATGATGCTAGTTGCTGAAACCCAGTATTCAGCAGGTGTCCAATAGATGTTGAATGAGTACTGGACTAAAAGTCTTCATATTACTGAGACCCACTTTGGTAGATATAGGGACAGAAAAGCCCTCAGGTAAAATTTAGCTCAACCTCATTTTGTAGATAAGGGGGCATAGATTAAACAGCTACTGCATAATAGAACTGAGACAGGAACCCAATTCCTGTTGGCAAGTCTATTTCTGAGTACATAGGAGGATAATTCAAGGCAAGAGTAACAAAATCAATAACAACTCTCCAAACATAAACCTTGACACACCCAGCATTTAAATGTCTCGAGAAATCACTGACCTTTGGAATTGGCTCCAAAGCCTACAGAGACATGGAGTGAAGCAGCTTCATTTCCTTTCTCAGGGCTGGTAGCTACTCAGGTACCTGATCTCACACACAGCCTATCAGAACCAGGGCCCAGCCAGCTGCCGATTTGTTTCAACTATGTGATAAGAATTAATTTTTAAGGGATCACAGACTAAACTAAGATAGTTTGAACTTTAAATAATGGGTATAGACCTGAAAGTGAAGCTCACCAGACAGCAAGGGGTTGGAAGCTCAGTCCACTGTGTTTCTGGAAAAAGCAGCACACAAATTAGGTTGGCGGATTACTAGAATGGCACCACAATGGAGCGATGTATTCTAGGTGTGGCTGGGAGGACAGCAGGGGTGATGTATGGGAATGAAAAGTCACTAGTCCTCCATGCCTCCCTTGCTAATCTTCCAGATTTTCCTTCATCAACTTATTAGAGGGGAAAAAATCTCCAATGCACAGATTAATATAACACAACCAGCTTGAAGTACGACAGCTCACAGAGAAATGAGAGAAGTGCCGAAGGAAGAAAATCCATGCCTGGGACCCCAAACACGTGACAGGTAGATGAATGGCTTGAATTCGGGTGGACATACTTATGACAGGACATCTACATAAAAACAAAATAACCAGAAAAGGCAAACAGAGAGAAACAGAAAGTAGAATCATTGTTGCCTAGGGCTAGGAGTGAGAATTAGTGACTATAAATGGTCAGACTTCCTTTTAGGGTGGTGGAAATGTTTTAAAGTTAGAGTGTGGAGAGGGTTGTATAATTCTGTAAATATACTAAAACTCATTGAAATGTGCACTTAATATGGTGAGCTTTATAGTACAGAAATTATTTCTCAATAAAGCTGTTTTTAAAAAAAGCAATGCTAAGTAACACATGGCTTTGCCTTTTGAAGGACATGGATGTAACTTCAAGGAAATTTGGGGGAGGGAACTACAGGATGCAATTTCATTCAGAATTTCTTAGGCTTCTAATATTCCCCATAGATACTTTAGTGAATTAAGGTCAATGCCAATCTAAGTCAATGGTTTTCTTGGAGATTTTAGCCATTAATTACTTCCCTTGACTGGCGCTGGGATCACTGAGCCCTTATCAGGAGAGACTATAAGTAATTTTGTGCAAACCAAATGATTTTATAGAAATAAATTTAAAAATTTAATATATGGCTTAGTTGGCCTCCTAAAATGAAAGAAAACAAAATCTAATTTATCCATTTTTACTTCCCTTCAAATCTCTTGTCTGTAAATATGAGGTATACCATCCTATCTCACAGCATTATTGAGATCTTTAAGAGAGATGGTGGACATAAGCACAGTGCCTGGAACAAAACAAATAGTTATATGTTGCAGCTCTTATGATTCCTTCCTGCATGTCTACATCCCTGATGCCCATCAACATGGTTTGCCCTGTTCTGATACTTTAGAAAAGATCCTTGACTTTTTTTTTTTAACTTGTAGAAACTATTCTAAATTTCTCCCTCCCAAATGGTTCCTAAAATCAGTAAGTAAACAATATTATTAGGAACTGTGGGGCAAACATGGTCTTCAAATTCAGAGCACTCTGGCCTAGAACCCAGACTCATCATTTATGAACTACGTGATCTTAAGAAAGACCACAGTTGCCCGAATGAGCCTCGTGTTTTCTTTAGGAACAGCCCGTCAATGCTGACCTAATGGGATTGTTATCACGAGGAGGTAAGTGCAAGTAATTTAGCAAGAATTGAACAAGTGTTAGTTATAACCACTGGAGTTTTAGTGTGAACTGTCTCCCCAAGAGCAGAATCCCCTCAGAGATGACTGATAAAATCACACTCCTAAATCTGTAGTGCAGAGAGCTTATCAGTTAGACTCTGTGATGGGCAGAATAATGGCCCTCAAGGATGTTCACGTTCTAATAATCAGAACCTGTGACTCTGTTACCTTTCATGGCAAAAGGGGCTCTGCAGATGTGATTAAGGTTAAGGATCTTGAGATGAGGTGATTATTCAGGTGGGTCCAATCTAAGTACACAGACAACCTCTCCTGGTTGCAGAGAACTGGAGAGATGGTAGAATGAGAAGGAACTGACTGACCTTTGCTGGCTTTGAAGCCAGAAGAGGGGCCAAGAGCTAAGGAATGCAAGCAACCTCTAGAAACTTGAAAAGTCAAGGATATGGAGTCTCTCCTAGAGCCCCCCAAAACTAATACAACCCTGGCAGCACTTTGATTTTAGCCTAGTGTGAACTACAGAAATGTAAATTAATTTAGACCACCAAGTGTGTGGTAATTTGTTACAGCAGCCATAGAGAAGTAATACAGGATCTCAACAGGAAACAGGTATCCCACAATTTGAGGATATTTTAATAAAGGGGTTATTTACAAACAGATGGGCAAATTGTGAGGAAAATCTTGGGGCTATTAACAGAAGGGGACTTGGGGGACAGATGGTCTTGGTACCCAGAGAGAGAGAGAGAGAGAGGCTATGTGTAGAGGGGCCTAAAGGAGGCAGCCAATCCCTGGCAGCCCTGCAGAGATCAAGCTAGAGATTAAAATACCCCCAACTCACTCTCCTCCCTTTCTCCAGCCAGGTTCAGCCAGGAGCTAGAGGGCAAGGGGTCCTCCATAGCAATTCAAAAGGGCCATCCTCCCAGGCCCAGCTGGAGAAGGGTGCAGAGGGCTCCTACAGCAAGAACTGCCAAAACACCCAGCAAAAAAACCAATGATGGAGGGGACAAGTGGGGGAAGGTCTTCTGGTGAAAGCCACTGACAGGACTGTTCCCTTCCATACATCTAAACGCATCATTTGACAATATATAATGTATATCCTCAAACACGATATATGTGGAAAACAGTAACTTTTTAAAGAAAAAAGTATATTAATTAAGTTTTATTGTATGCTGACTGCAGTCTTAGAAAGTTTAACCTATGACTTAATCAACCTTCCCATGTAGCCATGAAATGGGCGCAACAACTATGAAATCTGGAATTCCCTCTAAATGTGTTTATTTTCTTTCAAGTAAGGCTCTAGCAGGGAGTGAAATACCAAAAATAGATGAATGAATGAATAAATGAATGAATGAATGGTGGAAAACAGCAAACTTTCAAACTGGAACTGAGGCCCACTCAAAATGTTCAAAAAAGCCACAGCACAAAGCATTGTGCTCTGACTCTCTGGGCACCCACAACCATCCACCACGGACCCTGGAAAAGCAAATACAGGCAAGTGTGTTTGCAACATCAGACTGGCTGCTCATGAAGGAAGGCCCTAAACTCTTCTGTTTTTTGTTCTCAGGCCTTGTGTGTGATCAGGAAGGCCAAACAGCATGTATATGCAAGAAGCAAGAAATCACAAAACAACTTCTAAACAGTTTAAACCTATTACAACTGATATTAATAGAAGTACATATTTGCTTTCCTTATGAAATCATTGAACAAGGACAATAAAACCTCAGTCAAGTCTGCTTTTGTAGAAAGAAGTGACGTGGATTATATTAGTGTATTTTCCTAACCTATTTCGATGCAGATTTCTGGGAAACAAAATGTCCTTGTGGTCAAAATATTGGAATTAGAGCATCTGTTAGATCAGTATAGCTTACTCTGAAAATCTTTAAGCTCAAGTATTTGTTTAAAAAAAACCCTGCACTCTCCCCATCCCCTCAAAAAAAAAAAAAAACCCAAGGGGGCCTTGACATAGGTTTCCAGAGGTCCTTTACAGCTTCTCTGTTACTGCCCCCAGGGAATGTGTCCTTAAGAAGTATTTACAAATGATGATTAAGCAAATTCTTAACACACAGGAAATCACACTACATGTTAATGCAAGGAACTTCCAAACAGAGACTAAATTTTGGAAAGAAATTTCCAGAACTTGAAAGTAGTACATAACTCTTCTGGGCTCCACCTGCTGTTTTGTACCCCCAGGCTCTTGCTGGAGGGCCCCAGCCAGCTTTCTCATCTAACCAGGGTACAGAGGGAACCACAGGGCGAAGCCAAAGGCATAGGAATTTGTTGTTTCACTCTTGGCCCTTATCGTGTCATTGGGTGCAAGACATCCTTAGTCACAAAAGAAGTTCCTCTAATGATAAAAGAAGGTCAAGGGGGAACAGCTACCCCATGCCTCTCTCCTTGAGCAGCCTTGTTCCTTGAAAATCTTATCAGCATTGAGCACCGCCTCCCAGCTCAAATGTGTCACCACTGCTGCCCTTGTGACCACAGAATGCCTTAAATATAAGTGTTGCGGCACACTTGTGAAGAGGCAGCCTCTGGAGCCAGGAGGTTAGTTCCGAGTCCTGGCTCTCCAACTTAAAAGCCGAGTGAATTTGGGGATTTTACTTAAACTTCTGTTTTTCCACTATAAGACAACAGTAATAATAGTACCTATCTACAGGGGTGCTGTGAGGATGGGATATGTTCACATACAAAGATACTTAGCACAGCGCCTGGCAACAGTAATCAGTCAGTGTCAGCTGCTAACGTTGTTACTGTTACTACCATTACCATCTCTGCTACCATCTCCTCCGCCCCATCGCCATCTTACCAACCTCGTCACTTCATCCTGAACCATATGCTTTGCTCCAGGCCCTTAGACCTCCTCACCCACCCAAGCAAAGCATGTTCATCCTCACCTCTGGTCACTACCCTTCTTATGCCTGCAATGCCCATCCATTATCCAAATGCTGTCCACTTTTCAAGGTCTGGTTCCCCATGGACCCCACAGAGGCATCTCCTGGCCAAGCCAAATATAAATATTATCCCTCTCTAAAATCTGTGACATCAGCACAATCCTACCCATTAAGTTCATGTGGGCAGAGTCTCTAGGTCCTCCGCTCTCCATTTTTTGATGCATCTTGTACACCTGACCCCTAAGGCCCAGTCCAGAAAGTCCCAAACCTGTATCCTCAGGCTCTTCCTAACTAAACACTGGCTGTCAGTAGGAGATGGGGCTGCAGGATGCTGGCTGGTTTTACTAGATTCTAGCAACTAGAGAATTGCAATGAAATTAAATTCTCACTTCCAAAGGTCTTTTACATGCACTGGCCAATTCTTTTAGTTCTGAATTCTCCAGGTGACAGCTTTGGCCTTCCGTTCTGGCTCCAACACCAGGGCAGAGAAAAGACTTAGTAACAGTAGCTAACACTGACCACTCCTCTTTAGCCAGCAAAGGCTTCCTGTGGCTTCCAATGTATTGTGAGGCAGGACGTTGGTACTCACCAGTCAGCAATGCATCCAGTTATTAGGTAGCCAAAGATTAATCCAACCAGTAAGGAGAATTTAGCGATATGGACCTTCCAGGCATTATCACACACAAGATCCCACTAGAGAGGGGCAAATAGAAAATAAATCAGAGAGAAACATACACAGATGCCAATTGTAATGAATCATAAGGGCAATATAATAACTGTGGTAAGGATCATGACACCATTAGCAGTGCCATGTCACACATACCATTAAGAGTGTCTTCAATATTTTTGAAAATCCAACAATGAGAAATATAATTTGCCTACAAGGCAGTGAAATGTTCTAGTCTGGGATAGGTTATAATAGTCTGCAGGGAGTAACCCCATGAAATCTGGGGATGTGTATTCCTTCTGTCCCAGCTACCACAGGAAAGCAACCCAAGGGAGAGGGAGCAGCCAAGGAGGTGAGCATTCCTGGTCACCAGCGCCCTTCTCACAGGCAGAGCTGCCATACAGCCCAGGAGATGGGAAGGCCCTGCCAACTCTTTGCACCAGGTATCATAATGACATGAGGAAATTAAAAGCAATATTTGTTTCCACCTTATAAAACTCCTCAAACTTCATAAGTAGTCTTAAAGAGGGGTTAACAGCAAATGTTGAAATATCAACTTTAACTAACCATTTATATTATTCTCCTTATAAATATCTCTTGTGTTTTCCCATATTCCACTCTAAAGCTATCTGCTCACTTGGAGAGAAAGCCAATCAATTAGTGAATACAACATTTAGACCATTTTTGCAATTGTTTTATTATTTAACAAACAAATAAAAATAACCCTCCATTTTTCTTTTTTCCTTTTGCAGAAACGGGAGAGAAACCCATGTTTAGTCCCTTGAAGTGATGTGGATCCTAATGGAGTACACATGAGGACACAGCACTCAATCCACAAACAGATGAAGTCTGGGCCAGAAGGGCAAACAAAGAGGGTCTCTGCTGGTGATGCTATGAAGACTGCAGTCCCCACCATCCACATCACCCCATCAGTGGTACAGATGCCCTTCTGGTGGAAAGAAGTGGCTAAAGCTTTCAGTTCTGGGAAGCTTTAGTCACTCCGGGTTAGTGGACATGGAGAGGTGAGAGTGAAGAAGCTGGAGAGAAGTACTGTGAGGTAGGGGAGTGGGGAATGTCAGAACAGAAGGAGTTCTGAGAGCGGAAACAGAATTTGTGGGGATGGGCACGCCCTATACGGAAGGCCTTGGGCCAGACCTGATCTTAGCTCTGCCTCTTTCGCCATCTTCCCCTTGTCTGTCTATCTTGAGATCCAGAGTATAACGTAGGCTCTGGTCCTGCCACTTGTAAGCTCAGGTCCTGCCCTCCTCCCGCCAACCTGTTTCCAAATTTCGAGAAAGCCTGATGGAGGCCCCCAGGAGTCCTTATCTGTGGGTCTCAGCTTCAATGGACTTTGGGAAAAGCTGAACTTCTACATCAGCCATTGCTGAGTAAGCAGGAAGGTTGTTGCCTGTCACACTGTCCCTTGGACTTCTTGGGACCCATACTTGCTCACTGATGCCCCCCAAGGCATGTTTAGCTTTCTTGAAACCTGGAGAGAGTTACTAACTCCTCACCCTTCCAGAGTGATGGCCAATGCCAGGCTTAGGAAGAAAAGGAATGCAAGCACAGACTGCACAACCTCGGTGATGGAATGGTTTGCAGTTTGTTGTTGTCCAGGTTTATTCGTGTGTCTGGAGAGCAGGACACTGCTTGTCCGACAGAATCTTATCATCAAGAATTCAGATACAGGAGTTCTTTAGAAAGGTAACTCCCTCCTATGTCTAGTTCAGTGGTCCCCAATGTGTGCTCCAGACACCAACAGCCATTGGCATCATCCAGGAATGTTAGAGATGCAAATTCTTAGCCCCTCCCCCACCTGAAGGAGAACTTCCTGCATGAAGTAAGTGGTAGACATGGTTTAACAAGCCCTCCAAGTGATTCTGACACCTGCTCAAGTGTGAGAACAACTCACTGACCCTGCCCTGCCTATTCTTTTTCATTTTGAAGACGATGAATGAGCTGATGAATGAGCTTCCCAGTCCTGGGCTAGGGTTCAAACAATCAACTCCCAAGAGCAGCATGTAGCCAAATGCTGCATAAATCACACACAGTAGCTTTGGCTACTGTTTTGTACTGTAAATGCAGGATTGTAAAACTAGATTATGAGGTAAGTGGGCTTTTGACAGCAAGCCTGGAAAACCAACATTCATGTGTATATTGTTTCTAGAAGAAAAAAATATTTTTAATAAACACCTTTCAAGGTGCAACCATTCTCTAACTTCATGAATGCAGGCTCTACCTATAATATGAGTTAAAGCATCATAACTAACAGTGTATATTCTGCTTCCGCAGCTGGGTTTATATGTTGAGGCCATTTCTGAATTGTTTTTTCTCCTCTCTGCCCAACACAGGAAACTGCCCACAAAGTAATTGATTCCAAGAGTAAGAGCTACACCTATAATAAAGCACATCTGGCTAATCTTGGAGAGGAGGTGTTTACAACACCTGTAATCATTAATATCACAATCATACCACACCTTCCTGCACCTCAGCCTGGCACATTCTTGCCAAGAGAGGTGCACACCCAATCCCAGGTTGCTGCTGAGGAGGAGGGCACCAGCCATTGGCTCTGTGGCAGAGAATCATTCACTCAGGTCTCCACCCAGACTTCCCATGGATGACTTTATTTGAGGTTGAGTGATGCGAAGGAGCACATTATACTTATCTTAGATGGCCAGGAGACAAAAGAAATTTTTTTTAAAAGCATTCTAGGAGGTGGGGGAAATTGTGAGCTCAGCCACCCGAATAATAACTCTACCTGGCCTTGGGCAGCCATGGCCCAATTTAGTTGCTGCCTAATGAGATGTTCAGCGGCCACTTCAACGCAACCTCTATCAATTAACAACAGTGGAGTAGAAAATTAACACAGTTGAGAGAGACAGAACCATTTCTACAGCCAGTAAGGAAAGAAAGCCTAGTTAGAAGAGTCTGCAGACACTGCTGTGCTCAGCCTGGGGGAGGGGACCCAAGAATCCAGAACTGGTGCATCAACTCCCTTGATTAGGCAGAAAAGTAGACAGTATCTCTGAGAAAACAAGCAAAGTGACTCCAGGCCCTAGCAGGTTCCCTAAGATGAGGTTTCTCATGCCCAGAGATCTGTCTATTACAACACCCTTTAAAGCCTGTAGACCCACCCTGAGACACATTCCACAACCAGGGTGGGGTGGAGCTGGTGGCACCATTGAGATAACATCCTTTGTTTGACTTCTACTTCTGTATTGACAAAAATGTATTGGGAAAAGAAAATATGTTCAGACATAATATTATCTTCAAAAGAATCTCAGAAGTATGAGGAAGCTTTGTGATCACCTTGCTCTCGAAATTTGTTTGCTCTGCTATAGCAATTGGTCATTTCACTGAGCAAAGGCGAAAGAACTTGAAAAAATCTAAAACATGCAAAACCAGGAGTTAAAGTAATGGGTTTTGTCTATGACATTACCCTTGCCATCTCCTTCTTCTCACACCCCCCACATCGAATCAGTCACCACTTCCAGAGAATTCTCCCTTTTTAAACACATCCTGTGCCCATCTCCCCATCTCCCAAACTCCATCTGTACTATAGACAACCTGATTTATGGGGACTTGGTAGGGGTTCACTGACCATCCTTCTGATGTGTGGGCTGAAAGGCTAAATCAAACAAACAAAACAAAACAAAAAATACTTCCAGACTCACAGCTAAGGTTTCAAATATGACTTAGGTCCTGCCAATCAGCTGTACACCCCAAAATAACTTTCAGTGCACAACCTAGTTCTAATTCGGGGGATGACTTAGATTAGGAAGAGCATGAAGCAGGGAGTAAGTGGGACACTTTGCTGGTGAGATCTGACAAGGCTTGGTCTGGAGGTGGCTATGGTGTGATCTTAGAGCCAGCAGTTGGACAGTGAGCTCCAATTCCTCAGCCTCCTGTCCAGGGAGCTGTTCTAGGAATCCTTCTGGAGGCCCAGGCATTCACTGCTCCTACAGTTTAGTGGGTACTATGTCCCTGTATTCAATTCCTAGCTCCTTAAATACCTAGAGTGGTTTCTGGTATCTTCAAATTGAACCCTATTCCCTGATTAAATTTCCTTGGGATGAAGTTTGCAGGAAGAGAAGAGGATGTAGACCATGTCACCATCCTCCCTTCCCAAACTAATACAAGAGTCTCCATGGATTATTTCCAGCCTTCCTCAAATCCATTCCCTACAGAACAATGAAAACAATCCTCTAATTAGGCATGTTAACACTTTATCAGCAGTTCTAACAAGATCATAAAAGTGTTAAAGTCATGGCCCTATTTCATAGTCTGAGGCTTGCTTTCTTTGCCATTGTTCTAAGACTGGGGTGTGCTATTGGCGATGCCGCATGATGCTTGTGAGCCATGACTAAACGGTGAGAAAACTGACCGTAAAAAATGTTCTCAAGTTTAGTTGCATAGGTTCCATTTAAAAAAAAGTCAGAGGTTACAGAAAACCTGGTAGACTTTTTTCTACATATATATTTAAGGATAAGCTAAAAGAAAAGGAATAAAATTTATATTATTTTCAAAGTAATAATCTAATTGCTTGACTTGCCAGAGTAGAGAAATATTCATCTATGAAACTAAATGCAATTTCTGAAGAAGAAATATTCATCCAGGAAACTAAATGAAATTTCTGAAGAATAAATGGGAGATAAGGAAAATGATCTTATTTTCATCAATAATGAATATGATGACAAAGTAAAATGTAAAACAAGAACATGAAAAGAAAGAAACATAAGCGAACAAAAGAAAAGACATAAAAATATTGATTTTTATGGAAAACCACAAGGAAACAAATTACTTATGCAACATTGAAGTGGTAATGGAATCCCTAAGGATAAAAACTACAGTGAAAAAAAGATACCTAAGGGAAGACTGATAGATTTTATAACAATTTAACTGTTACTACTTAATTTTTGCACATCTTAATTATTTAAAACTTCCATGTATCAAAAATGCCATAAACAAAATTATAAAGACCCAAATTTGTAAAATATATTGTAGGGGATCAGAATATGCCACCCAA